TCGCACATCTCCATCAACATAACCATTTTAAAATTAACCCTCTAACTTGAGTGGCTCCCGAGCATAACCCTGGTTAAATTGCTATGATATCTCGGAAAAGAGAGATTGTAGTGGTTTTCCCATTTGCTTCTCAACAGCTTGTAATTCAGAGTTTTTCTTGGCTGCGATCCAAGGCTAGGAAACCCCGTCTACCTGGTTATTTTATCCATATCTGATAGTGGGAAGAGGTGGTTCTGAATTCTAGATTGTCTGAAATTCAAGTCCAGACCATCCAGTCAACTCTGTTATCTAACCCATTACTGACACTAGGGTAGAGATGGTGTCATGCCTTTCCCAAGAAAACTTTCTGAGCAAGTGAACGTCACAGACGAGACCTGAACGAACTCAGTTCACTGATCCCATTTCTTTTACCGATAACCATTACGCCAATGGTGGTCATCCTTTCTAAAAGACAGCAAAAACGAGGAGTTGATTGATTATATTCCAGGTTCGACTGCAATTATGAAAATTGTTTCTAAAATGTGAAATAACTATCTTTTGTTTATATGACAAAAGGATTTTCGCTTGAAAATGACAAATGACATTCAAGTTATGATTCTGAACTGGACACGGCAGTTATATGACGTAAATATATTATAAGAAAGAAAATTTAGTTCACTATCACACATTTTGAGTCGGCAGTTGAAAATGTCTGATTTATTCAGGTAAGAAGGACTTGGAAATAAATGTTAAAGTTTTGAAAGAAAGAAATCATTTTTATTTGGAAAAATATTTGAGATCAGAATCCTGACAAAAAGAATCTATATAAATTTGAATGTCAGTGTGTCATACCTTTTAATCTTCCCTCATAGAGGCCATAGCCCAACATATCAAACCATTTTGGAATCAGGACGACTCTATAAGAAAATTAAAAACACTCCGGACTGGATCCAAACTCAAAATCCTGAAATTTGGGATTCCCAAATTTTCATTACTGCCATTGTTTTTGGCGATTTTTTACGCGATTTTTTGCGACAATTTTTTTCTATGATAAAAACTTTTATAACTTGAAAATAAATTTGGGAATAATCGAAATTAATTACGAAAGTCACCCATAAAATTAAGATAATTGTTTGTATGGAAAATAAAATCTAGGTACATCAAACTGTCTTTAAATTAAGCGGCAACAGAAAAATTATCGTTGAACTTTTAAAAGATAAGCTTAAATATTAATGCAATACTTAATTGAAGTGATCAATTTTGAGTTCTTTTGTAGTTTTTTTGTTGCCTATCCCATACGGCAGCTGCTTGCCTCATAAAAAGAAATCTCCCCCAACTGAGAGCCAGATTGCAATCAAAAGAGCCAAGGGTGCAAAGGGGGGAAAGTGGCCGTGTAAATGAAAACCCACATAAAACGGAAGCCATGAGATCTTCCAATGCTGAGAATATGTAAAGATTCAGGGACTTTCAAACTCTTGAACAAACTGAAGGTTCAACCAAGAGCACTCCACAGGAACTAGCTTAATTGCCGCCCGATAGAACGGCTTTTAAGCTAATTTGAACAATGTCTTTATGTTTAGGGGTTGTTTTCATGTGCTTATTTATTTTGTCTAATCATTTTTTACCCTAAGTGAATGGCATTCCTTATATTGTGCTTAATAAAAAATATTTTTGAACTTTGACTCAAAGCGCTTGGTTTTCCTTACCGTAAATGCATTTATCATTATTAAGAATTATTTCGATGAAAAATAAATTTCGAAGTTAAATGGGTGACATTACTTAACACTTTTACCTAAAAGACGACTGTTTCGTCTTAATTGATACGTGATATCTTAATACCTGGAGGGATGAATTGCAGATATCCTACTCTTGTGAACTGAATAAAGAGTTCCGTCTGAAATTTCTGGCTAAGCGATTTTACGACAGATACTGAAAGAAAGCCACAGAAAAAAAAAAAACAAACAAAAAAAAAAACGGCCGAAACTTTACAACGATATATATCAAGCAAAGTCCAGTTGTCTGAATTGAAAAAAAATTTAATATCGCCTCATCTAATTTAACGTATACTTGGAACAAATAAGTTATTGTTTTTGACATCTGTCAAGCATGCGTCGCTACATGGCAAGAAGATCTTATGTTTCTTAATTACAAGCCAATATAGCAATGTGGTGTATTCCAACAAAGCGATACATCCATTAGCACAATTAACGGTATATGAAGGTTTGCTTGTAACAGCAGGCAGATTTAGATATTATCGCTGCCTCTTTCTATATAAAGGTAAGAAAGAATTTCTTTCATAACAAACCAACTTCGATCCCAGAAAGACATTGTCAACTTTTATTTTCGGTAAGTATTACATACAACTGCTAAGCAAATTCGTTTTTTGGTTAACGATAAAGTGACCATTATCGTTGATTTTTAAGTTTGAATCTAATGTACTTAAGGTGATGGAATTATAAATGCATTATAAAAGGAGATGTTGAAAAAGTTCTCAGCCTGAGCAACTCCTCCAAGTCTAGAAAATGATCAACTTTGATAACAATGTCCATGAATCCAAATATTTTCAAAACGTCTCAATTTTTTGTTCGTGTTTCTGATGTCACAATCAGTGTTAAAATAGTAGCTAAGACTATTCAAACACTCAATTAAAGCATTTGTCCTGTATTTCCTTACAGAGTTTGAACGCTGATTTTCTAGGCACGCATATTCCTCTTTTCTTAATTACAAGCCAATGAAAAAATTTGCTGCTTTCCAACAAGGTGATAACATCTATTCATCCATTTAACGTTGCATTAAGGCCTGTCAATAACAGCAGGCTCGTGTAGGTATTTTCGATTATCATTGTTACCGCTTTCTATATAAAGGTAAGAGACATTTTTTTTCACAACAAACCAAATTTGGTCCTGGAGAGATTTTATTAAATGTTGTCTTCGATAAGTATTAAAAACATGCTTAAACAAATTCCTTGATTGGTTAACGCTAAAGCAATCGTTACTGGTGATTTTCAAGTTTCAATCTAATATACTTAATGTTACGGAATTGTAAATACGTTATACGAGGAGAAGTCATTATAACTTCCTATTATAAGATTATTGTTATAACACACATCATTTGTGCTTGTTGCAACGTAATTAGTTACAATAGTCTTTATACGTAAGGCTTAGGCTTTTGCCATAACTCCTGTATAGTATGAAGACGGACTCGAATATGACTGGTATCTACTCAGTCCCCAACTCCACTGAGATGATTTATGACACGAGGTCGGGATTATTGTGTGGAACCCGAGCGTTTCCACCCGAGTCATTTGTCAAAATTTACCCAACCCCAGTGAAAATCGAATTGAGTACATTAATTGTCTGTTTTTCTCAGCCGAGTCTCTAGACAGAGTGTTATCATCCTCTGCCCGAAGACAGGGGTCTTGTCTTATCGCGAACCTGGGACTGACTCCGAGGCGACCAGTCACGATCATCATAACATGCAAGAGTATTGGACGAGTTCATAGTGTCACCGGGAGTGTACCCCTTACTTCACAACAGATATTGAAAAGTCCTCAGCCTGACCAACTCTTCCAAATATAGAGCTTCAATACTGATTTTCTAGGCACTTATTTCTAAAGAGCTATTCTCGTCAGGGGCCATGTAACCTTATTGGAGATCCTTGTTCATGTTCATAGTGTTGTAGACAAATAATGACAAATTCTATCTATCTCTTTTGTCATTTCTGTTTGACGTCGGCTCCTTGAAATTGTGGAGAATTTTTAATGAAATGATGCTAAAGAAATGTTCAGACTGACTTATTTAAAAAAACTCTGATACAGATTACTTTTTTTGTTTTTGACCAGAAGTAGCATTTTTTGTCTCCAAGATTTTTTTGGATTGGATCAAAATGAGACGAACTTGTACAGCATTGCCATCACATTGTTCTTTTCTTTATTACAATCGAGACATTCTAATGTATCGATTGTAATAAATCCATAGATATAATTGTAATCTATCAATAGATATTCTTCTTTCATGTTCCATGTCCCTTCTGAACATCTATCAGCAAAGGCAATCGTTTTCTGGTCACTTTTACGTTGTTTTGAAACGCAAACATAAAATCTTTTGATCAACTTTCTTCTCTTATTTGTGAAGAACCTTCAGAGCGTAGTTGATCATGGCACTCCAGGGTTTCCTATATGTTATTATTCTAAGCAATGTCAGACTTTTTACCATCCCTTTAACCGCCCCCCAGTTTTGCCTTCCATTCACACACACTTATAAAACTACTTACTCTTCCTTGTCATTTGCTTGCTTTCAATATTTCTTGTGAGTGTTAAATTCTCTAGGCATTCTTTCATCATTATATGTCCATTCTTGATTGCTATGATAATAGTTCTTTTTAATTTCATTTTCCTTAAAACATACTCGTTATTCACATGCTAAACCCGTGGAATTCTCAGCATCTGCCCCGTAACTTCATCTCTGTCGGTTCAACTTTTTAATTCCCTGCCATAGATGAGACGTAACTTTGCTATCAGAATTTTTATTCAGTTGTTATTGTATCCGCAATTATTTTTGTTCTTTAAGACAACACTTTAGGCCGATCCATTCTCCGGCCTTTCAGCCGAACAGAAGGAAATCGTATTGAAAATAAATTTCCAACGAGAATTGTACACGCATTGTAGCGTGTCACAAGTCTGTTCATTTTTTCTTGCTTTCGGACAGACAAAGAATGTCTGACAGATAAGGTAATGAACATGGGCAGATAGATAGATAGATAGATAGATAGATAGATAGATAGATAGATAACGAACAGAAATAGGCAGATAGCTAGATAGATATCGAACAGACTGAAATAGCTAGATAGATAGCTAGATTGATTATATTTACTTTGCATTTTCAGTCCTTATCTCTTTTTTGCACTGAAAATCATGGAAGGTGTTTGTAGAATTGATAGCCATTGAAAATATGTAAAACTCAAACAAAAATATATCGACTTGTTCACGTCTTACATATTTTAAAACATATTTTTAAAGAAAGATGCTTCGCCAGTTCCTCCTCATCGCTTTGGTCCTGTCAATGACGTTTATGATGTCATCAGCCACCAATCGTTGTTTTACCCGCTGTATGGCTTGCTTGGTAATTGCAGACTCATACTGTAGAATGGATATGCCCTTTCCAAGTGGGTCAAAGGATTGCCTGAAGTAAGTAGCTAAGTAAAAATCGTACTATTGTCTTAAATATTTCTTGCATTAGGCATTGTAAAACTTTTTTTTTATTTGTGAGTTAGTATTTCTTAATTTCATATCGCAGGTGCACAGTGATGACTTACAGCTCAGATCAGACACTAGGTTATTTGACAGGGTGCAGTTTCTTGCACACAAAATCTTGTAGATTAAAAATTACTTTTCGGCCAGATCGTTACCCACGAGTGCAGAACAAAACAATTTCTAGCAGTAAGCCAGATTTTATTCTTGAACTGTACCTTACTGCTATAAGCTAGCAAAGTAAATATGCGGCGTAAGTTAGGGGTGAGGTTCACAGTTCAGCTGCCGTCGTCTACGTGCGTTCTGCGAAGGTTGCTTCGTTTCATCTGTTTGACTTTTCGACGGATCGTCAATTTTATAGACAATAATTTTTTTTGTCTTGTCATTTTCATCGAAAAAAGTAATTAATCTTCCTACCGGGACTCATCTGAAAATTTGCAAGCGGTAGACTTGTGACGTTGGGTCAGTAAAAAGAGGCTACCGACTGTAGTGGAATAAGTCTTCTCCCCGCAAATCACGTGAACGTTTTTGAACTCTCTCAAGATTAGACAGTAGGGACTGTTCAGCTGTAAACCAGACATGACATCAATACCCCATTTCTGGGTCTCATTAGATCAAACCAGTTTTATACCTGTTTTCAAGCAAAGAGTTTGTTTTTAAATGAGTACTGATTAAGACTGAGAGTGTCTATTTTATATAAGGTGTACCTTGAAAAACTGGTATTATAATCTGATTTAATGTACCTGTAATGATTTCACAGTGGTTAAATATGAATTCTCATGGGAGATGAAACAATTGAATGTTGATATGATTTCGTATTTTTTTTATTCCTTATTGCAATTCCAAAAGCATATTGAGTAACTGAAATTAAATCTCCTTGCAGATCCTGTGGTATCGCAGAGTCTTTTTTGCCCGGTGGAAATGTTGATTGGGTTCTGAATTCGGTTCATCACTGCCGTAGTGCACAATATCAATCTTCATGCGTGGATCTGATTCGTGAATAAATCATGTAAGATATTTTTGATATTATCATTATAACTTTAAATGATTATTTAATGATTATATATATATATATATATATATATATATATATATATATATATATATATATATATATATATATATATGGTGGGGTAATGGATAGCGGCTTAGATTGAGTAATCGGAGAGCCGAGTTGGAAATCCAGTCGAAACCATTACATTCACTTACTTGGGAAAAGTATAAATCCTTTTCTCCTTCCAACTATGGGTAAATAGCAGGAAAGACTGGGTTCTATAACCTTTGATGACAATGGTCTAGGAGAAGGAAAACTCTGAATTCAAAACTTGAGGAGGGTCGTTTGGGGACCTTGTGGCACGTAGTGCACCAGGTCTCCATTCGGCTCTAATTAATTAATTAAAAAATACACTTTTAAGTAGGCGCCCGAGTGGGGTCGTCAGTGATGTTTTGACTTGGTTCATCAGGGAGTTTCGGGTCTTTCAACATCATACTCCCCATCACCAAATCGACCCAATCAGGGAAGATCAACCCCTGATTCCCCCTCACAATTAAACGCTAACAGCTACTCTGGCCTTTTTAAAGAATTAGACGAAGAAAGACCACATATTCCGCACATCCGATTGGATGTTTGTAAGAACCAATCCGCTGCGTGAACTATCTTTAAATGGCTTGCGGTGGGGACTGGCTTCTTTTCTTATTTCGGTGGATTGCAATACTCTCCAACTGACCACTTCGATTTTCCCCTAACAGCTTCTTTGTAAAATTGACTGGATTTGAGAGAAATGCCATCCGTTTCTTCGGCCTTTCTTGCCTCCTTCGTCTATGCCATTCTGCTCTGCGTGAAGACTTGATTTTTAAACGAATTAGGTTTCGAAGCTCCCGTAAGTGTTGTCTTTCTTCGGGTTTCGCGATTTTATATTGTTTCCGAAGAGATTTGAGCTCCGACCTAAATTGTCTAATCTTTAATTCCCTCCTATTTTCTTTGCTAATATCCTTCTTTTCCTTCCGCTCCTCATATCCAAATTTCCCTGCTGCATAACTAGTGATAATTTTTGACATTGTCGCTAGTCGTTTATCCACCGATCCTCTTGATGTTATTTCAAGGATCTCGCCGAGGTCCACGTCGAATTCGTGCCATGTGTGTTTGTTACTGGCTGGAGGCCATTTTATCTTTCTTCGAAATGGAGCATCAGGCTCTGCTTGAACCTCTGCTTGGGGTGGGGGGACTGGGCACTGTGGTGAGCTTCCCGGCTTTGCACCTCCTGCGTCTCACCAGGAAAAATTCCTGCGCGCTGCTGTTGGTTCGTCTGCACCTGACACTTCATTTTTGCCTGATGGATTTTTAGGCTGCACATATTTTTACATATCTTTCTACATGGGCATGTCAATCTCTTTCTCCGTAGATCCGTAGCTTGGTTCATTTCCGTTTCATCTGGTCTAATGGGGATCTTATTCTCCACCCCACTTCTTGGGATCACCTGGGGGTATTTATTCACATGAGTAGCGTTTCCTGAATAGAGTAAGTCGGGTTGCTAGCCCAGAAATACACAAATGTATCTTCAAATGTGTGGATGATTCGGCACAAAACCTTCACCACTATAATCAAATCTCATGCGCTGGTGTCTGGCTGCCGGTTCGTAGGAATTGAGCTGCTTGACCCTCATACGTCGAATACGACGAGAGAGTTGAGTATATTTCAAACCGAAGTTAAGTGATTCCAGTTCGGCATTGGATAACTTATAATCCAAATATTCTTTATTGGATCTGTTTTTCTAATATATTTCCACCTGATGTTAGTAAATATTGGGTTGAGTTTCGTTTTTAAATTATTGATTTCGTTGTTCTTCATTTGTGCTATCGTCAGTTAAAACTTTCTTTTTGCGGATACTAGCATTTTTAAAGTTTAGTTTACTATCTATCTATATATCTATCTATCTATCTATCTATCTATCTGTCTATCTCAGTCTATGCTTATCTATCTATCTATCTATCTATCTATCTCAGTCTATGCATATCTATCTATCTATCTATCTATCTATCTATCTATCTATCTATCTATCTATCTATCTATCTCAGTCTATTCTTATCTATCTATCTATCTATCTATCTATCTATCTATCTATCTCAGTCTATGCTTATCTATCTATCTATCTATCTATCTATCTATCCATCTATCTATCTATCTCAGTCTGTGCATATCTATCTCAGTCTATGCATATCTATCTATCTATCTATCTATCTATCTATCTATCTATCTATCTATCTATCTATCCAAGTCAGTTCAGTAGCTATCTATCTATTTACTGGTGAGGCAATACAAAGCTACAATTTTGCCTCTAACAAAATCTTTTCTCGACACCCCAGCAATACCTCACTATATAAGCACATATATTCAAATTTCAAATCCATGCAGACTAAAGTTTAAATGATGAATCTCTTATTCATTTTCCCTCTTTTCCATTGTAGTCATTGCAAGTTTATGTAGATATGTCGAACTTGACCCTCATGTTCCAGACATTCACCCCTTTTATTTTCACTTTTATTTTAACTTTTATTTTCACTTTTATTTTAATTTAGCTGTAAATGATCAAAACAACGTAAAAAGTTTTCTTAATTTAACTAATCAAATGAAAATTTTTAATTCTAACTTAAATGTGCAAGGAAAATATTTATCCTACCCCCCCAGACAAATGTTATTGTAATAGATTGAATAATTGAATGTAATAAACTGAATACGTTGATTCCGAATCTGTATTTGTAATTATCCTCACGCATCTGCTTTTTGATGAAATGGGCATAAAATATTGATATCAATGGTAACTATTTATATTTATATCCAGAAATCACGGACATTACACAGTATTGATTCTTATACCCACAATATCAATAACTCTCCTTCTCCCTCTGTCTACCCATTATATATATATATATGTGTGTGTGTGTGTGTGTGTGTGTGTATATATATATATATATATATATATATATATATATATATATATATATATATATATATATATATCAGGGCAAGCTTTCAATGATCATGCATTAATTTCAAACAGACACAATCTGATTTTGTCAGAGAAGCGTTCGGATCACATGTACTTTTCATGAAAGGTGAGTATATATTATACAGTCATCGACATAACACTCAGAGGAAACAGCGAATAACCTACCTGATGTGTTTGGAACAAATATATGACAGAATAAATAATATAAATGCAATACAAGGTCCTAGAGGGAAAAATAGTATTAATGGAGAGCCATGATTACCCACGCCCTAAAGAGTAAGTGAGAGTAAGTGAGAGAGAGAGAGAGAGAGAGAGAGAGAGAGAATTTTAGTTTTTGTTTATGACACTCGTAAGTTCTGTAAAATTAAAATAAAATCCCATTTCACTTGCTTAAGTAGATTTTACTATACGAATATACACATCATAAGTAATAAATGTTCTACATGTATATCGCAAAGCCCGACAACTGTCAGTGCAAATTTGGAATCGGTGTACTCGTTTTGTAGAACCATTTGTCTTGGAAACAGTCTGTTTTTTTTTTATTTTCATGTTAATTTCTTGAAGTTAAAATATAAAAACGATTGAGAGCTTGAAATTTACTAGATAATCCATTCAACAAGAGCCTAACCACAATAAATCCGCTTAGAGAATGATGCATAGTTTGATTTTGCTAATCTCTGTCTTTATTTTCTATTTTTCCAGACAGGATGATTGCCAACGATGTTCACTGACAATTTAAGAATGGAAAATAAAGTGATTTAATTCTGAATATATTTGCGTATTTTGTTACCACACTCTTCTGTCTACAAACATATATATATATATATATATATATATATATATATGTGTGTGTGTGTGTGTGTGTGTGTGTGTGTGTGTGTGTGTGTGTGCGTGTGTGTGTGTGTGTGTCTGTGTAAAATATAAAAAATATATGCCAAGCAATGTACAGAAATACGTACCTCTCTCTCCCCCATTTTCTAAATTATTAAGCGCGTGTTTTTTATAAGGGCAGCAATAAAAAAAATAATAACAGAATTAACTTACAGTATTTACTTTAGTCGGACTATTGTCCTCATCTTTGTCGCCATATTTGTCACAACGTTTCGGCCGTTGTACGCTCCGGCCTTCTTCAGGTGGTTGGAATTTCGAACTGAACCCTTTATTTCGATCACTGGGGTAGACTGTTCTAGTTCCACGTGCCATGTCTGATGGATGTCAGTTATCAGTTATCTCCTGCTAATTTTCCCTCTGAAAGTTCTCCACTGCCTTAACCAGGTATTGAACTCACCTTCTTTGGGTCTGTCACTGGATCTAACCAACGCCTTTATCCACTGTGCCATGTGTCCTTGGGTTCAGTTCGAAATTCCAACCACCTGAAGAAGGTCGGAGCGTACAACGGCCGAAACGTTGTGACAAATATGGCGACAAAGATGAGGACAATAGTCCGACTAATGTAAATACTGTACATAATACCTCATCTCAGAAATATAGACAGACTCAGAATTAACTTGTCAGTCATTTTTTAATGAAATATAGACTAAGATAAACGTTTCAAGAAGGATATAACCTATTAATATATATGCATATATACACGGTACCGCCACTAATTCGCTATAGCTAATGTTTAAAATGATTTTTTTAATTTAAAAGGTTTCTTGAAGCTTTCATTTTAGCTTTAATTGCGAGCTAAACGATTAAAATTCCTATTTCTGAGAAACACAATATTCTTGTGCATTTCAAATAGAATCTATATTGATTGGAATTCATTTTTTTTATTCTTCTTTGCTAAAATAACTGATTAGCAACCTTTATTAGTCGTAACCTAATTCTCTTTATTAAAAAATCTTCCAAAAATAAAATATACTTTTCTGAAACTTTATTTGGGAATATTAGCTGATTTAAAGTATCTGACAAGAAAAAATATTCTTTACTTTTAGTTTAAATAACCCAGAAATGCATTTTTAAACCAAAATGTAGTTGTGTTTTTAACCGATAGTAGTTATTTTTACTTTTGATAAGGTCTTGATAGGTTTATTTTTGTTCTATGGAGACTTTATCTGTAAAACGTAATTTAAGAAAATGACGTAAACGTCTTTTTATATAATTTTTAAGTACACAGTAATCATAAAAAATGAGGAACATATTCCACGTAATTTAATTTTAGGAATGTTTACTTTAAATTTCCTATAGTTTTCGCTGTTATTTTCTGATTATGTCGTGTATAGCCAACCATATTTTCAAAACAGGCACGTTTATAAACATAAAAGAAAATTTTTTTTTTTTTAAATTTTGATGTTTGAAGATTGATATTAGACTTTTCAATGTTTGATTAATATGTATAGTTTTCCCCAATGAACAATAACACCTAACGTGATCAAAGTAATGCATAAATTTAAAAGATTTGAAGGTTTATGAATCATTATCATTAATTTTTGTAAAAATTCATTGTTCATCGAAAAAAAAAACTTTTTCTTGAGACAAAAATATCCTTAATATATTTTCTTTATAAAAGAAATTAAAAAGAAATTTTAAAAATATTTCCTGATTAAATAATGACATAGTTTTATTGCATTTTTTATTTTACGATGCATAGCAGATTTTCGTAACTATTTGAAAAAAAAAAAGAAGTCCTGTTTTTAACTGATAAAACATTTTGCGATCAAAATTTAATTTCTAGAAATTTAATAAAAATTAAGTACATGTGGGGTGGGGGTAACATATGTAAAAAAATATTTCACCAAGATTTTCTAAAAAATTTAAAAAATAATTTCATTCATTTGTGAAAAAAGTCCTGTGTGTTTCATTAAAATCTAACAAATATTTGATTTTTCTAAGAATTTCCAAATTAATGTTTTTACCGGAAAAGGGACGCTAAAATACCTGTAATTTTTTACCCGAACGCGCTAGAAAATAAAAAATACTTTGTCTTTCCTCTTGATAATAACATAAACATTTTGCCAATAAAACTTTGTTTTTATCAAGTTTGAGGCCATTTTTAGCGAAAAAGTGGAGGTACCTTATATATAGTCACGTGTACAAATAATCAGCCAATCACTTGGCAGCAATATTATCGATATAAGCGTTAAAAATGATCATGACAACCTGCTGAATTTCATTTCATGTATTGGCACGAGAAAGAAAAATAATTGGTCAGATGGTCAGATCTGAATATTTCAAAGATTTTATTTCAAGAATTTACAGAATTGGTCAAAAATTGACAAAAATCCAATGAGTAGTTATTATGTGGGCAGAAAACATTTGTTGATAAAAGAGGAGAGAGAAGAATGGCTGAGATTGTTTTATGCTTATAGAAAGGCAACGGTATGTCTATTAAGCATTCTTCAGCACGGAGACGTGTGCAGAAGAACATCTCTAAAAGGACAACACATCGGACCTTGAAGACGATGTCGAGCGTCATTTCTGTCAGGTAAGAACAACGAAATAAGGACCACAAAACATGGAGAAGTAAGGATCGTAAAAATCGTTGCTTGGTTTATGCTACGACAATCGGAGAGTAAGTACAGAATTTGGTATAAAAAAACCCCCTGAAAGTATGATTCCATCCTGCGTAATATCAATGGGTCAGGCTAGTGGAGGTGGCGTAATGGCATAGGAAATATTTCTTGGCACACATTGGGACCTTTGACATTAATAAAGATTGAATATGGCGAACACCAACTTTCATCAATCCATGTGAAAAGTGCATGCTTCTTCTGGACGACATCAGAAACTGTCACAAGTTAAAAAGATCGGCATATTGGTTCATTGAATACAGAAACGTCTGTAAACCTGGCTGTCACAGAAACCCCATTGAGGTAATGATAGAGAACGTTTTGGGTGTGGGAAATTCTTATCCTGGATGTGAAGCCAACCAACTTAGAAATCCATAATAATAGTAGAAAACCATATTTGGCAAGAATTCATCCAGAATATCGTCGAATCAATGTCAAAAAGAAATGAGGCGATTCTAAAGACAAAATGGCGTCCGACCCGGTAGCAGAATAGGATATGTAATAAAATGACCAGTAGGTGTATATATGAATTTTGAAACTCTTTGATTTTCCCTAAGCATAGTGTAATGTGGATTAATTCAAAAACCAATATCGGGATCAAGTGACAACACTGACTTCCAAATCAAGAAATCCTAAATATTCTCACAGATACATCGTAAAATAGAATTTTGAATTTTATCGAATTAATTTATTTCTTCATAACGATGAAAGCAGCCGAAAGATCAGGACATTGATGAAAACTAACAAGAACTGTGAACAATTCATTTTGACTTTCAATACCAAATTACGG